CACCCACCCCCGAGTCACACAATGCTGTGAGATGCCTGGTGGTATAAGCCTAACACAGTTTTCCCCAGGCTTCTTAGTGTTTGCCTAGAGGAAGAACACAAGATTTATACTCTATCTTCTTTCAAAGCAAGCATGTTTAAAAGCACAAATGGATACTCAGCATGTGAACCAAGAACTCAGGCCTTTCTGAATAGACTGCTGCCTGCATTGTCCACACCCATGGCAGCTGGGAGCTGAGTGCGTGTGCCTATCCTGCATCTGTCACACCCGTTTCTACAGCCCTCCAGACACTCTGAGAGCTCTCAGTAGCCCCCTCGCCTCTTCCTACAGTGATTGATTACCCTGCCTGCCAGTAGTTAACTGCCATTAAATCTGCCATTGCTGAGGAGGAGAAAGTGACAGAGCTGGCCTTGCTCACAGTGACTTTGGACTGCTTGAGGGCCACGAAGGCACTGTGTGTGGGGTGTGAGTCGTCCCTCGTCACTGGGACTTGGCGCTGGATAGTGAGGTGCTTTCAAGGTTCACAGAGGACACAGTCCTAGCCCGTGAGTTGGTAGTTAGGCTTTTCTGTCTCAGCTCGGCCTCAGATTTGCTAGTAGCCTCCCTCCCCAGGAGTCCCTGTAGGACCCACTGTTTGTACAGCACTGCACAACATGCAGGTGCACCACAGAAGATCAAAGGGGGTGAGGGGGCGATCTCTGACCTGAACTTGCTACTTACCATTGACTTGGGAAGACGGTGCACTTGTCTATAAATGCCACAGAGATGTCACTCCAAAGCAGTAGGTAAGCAGATTCATAATCACCACCACCACACTAATGGCAGCAACTGAATTTCCTGTGTACAGGAAAATGCCCTTGCAGCCTGTGAGGTGGGTATCTTCACACGTAATGGTCGCTAACCACAGTGGCAGAGCCAGGCTGTGAATGTGGCTGCTGCCCCCACAGCCAGGCTGGTGCATTCACGTTCAGTTTGTGCCAGGGATGGAGAAAGAACATTGATGCTGGGCCCCCTCGCCTAGCCTGGGGAAGACTGTACCGCTCTGTGGGGCACCGTCGTGTGAGCCTTCGCTGACACAGAGGAGTGAAAGGCTCCTGTGAAAAAGCTGCCGTTTCACCAAACTGTTGGTAACCCTGCTCTAGGACTACAGTCATGTTTGCCATTTGCTGTTTCCCAGTCCCAGGGAGTTTCTTTTTTTCAAATTTTTAAATAGCTTTATTGAGATGTAATTCACAAACCATAAAATTTACTTTTTATGATTTTAATATGTAAACTTAAAAATTTTTTTTTAATTTTTTTTTTAGAGATGGGGTCTCACTATGTTGCCCAGGCTGATCTCAAACTCCTGGCCTCAAGCAATCTTCCCACCTTGGCCTCCCAAAATATAGGGATTACAGGTGTGAGCTACCATGCCCAGCCCAATATGTAAACTTCAACATGATTTTTATGATAGTCACAAATTTGTGCATCCATCACCACTGTCTAGTTCCAGGACATATCATCACCCCAAAGAGAAACCCGGTACCCATTTGCAGCCACCCCTCATTCCCTCATTCCTCCCACTTCTTGGCAACCACTCAACTGCTTTTCATCTCCATGGATTCACCTATTCCGGACATCTCGTATTAATAGAATCATACACTATGTGTTCTTTTGTAACTGACTCTTTTCACTAGCATAGTGTTTTCAAGGCTCATCCATGTTGTAGCAGGTACCAGTACTTCATCCCTTTTTACTGCCAAATAATGGTACATGCTGAGGACCGTTTTATTTACCCATTCACTAGTTGATGGACGTTTGGATTGTTTTCCACTTTCAGGCTATTAAATAATGCTGAACATTCAAATACAATTTTCTGTGTGGACGTAAGTTTTCATTTCTCTTGGGTGTATATCCAGGAGTAGATTTACTAGATCTAAGGTAACTTTGTTTAACATTTGGTCGAATTACTGCTATTTTCCAAAGTGGTTGTGCCATTTTAAAGCATTGTCACTAGCAATGTATGAGGGTTCCAATTTCTCCATATCCTCCACGTCCTTATTTTTCTGTCTCTGATTATGGCCATCCTTGTGGGTCTAAAGTGGTTACTCAGCATGTATTTGATTTAGATTTCCCTAATGACTAATGATGTTGAGCATCTTTTTATGTGTTTGTTGGTCATTTTTATATCTTCTTTAAAGAAATATCTATTCAAATCCTTTGCCTACTTTTAACCCAGGTTATTTGTCTTTTTATTGTTGAATTGCCAGAATTCCTTATTCTGAATACAATTTTTTTTTTTTTTTTTTTTTTTTTTTTTGCGAGACAGTGTCTCTCTCTGTTGCCCAGGCTGGAGTGCAGTGACACAGTCTCAGCTCACTGCAACCTCCGCCTCCGGGGTTCAAGCTATTCTCCTGCCTCAGCCTCCTGAGTAGCTGGGATTAGAGGTGCATGCCACCACGCCTGGCTGATTTTTGTATTTTTAGTAGAGATGGGGTTTCACCATGTTGGCCAGGCTGGTCTTGAACTCCTGACCTCAGGTGATCCGCCTGCCTTGGCCTGCCAAAGTGTTTGTATTACAGGTGTGAACCACTGCGCCTGGCCTCTGAATACAAATTTTTTATCGGACATATGATTTGTAAAAATGTTCTCCCATTCTGTAAGTTGTCTTTTTACTTTTTTTATTTTTATTTTTTTATTTTTTTATTTTTTTGAAGCACAGAAGGTTTTCAATTTTGATAAAGTTCAATTTATTGGTTTTTTTCTTTTGTTAGTTGTGCTTTGGGTGTTGTATCCAAGAAACCATTAATTTAGTGTTGCTTTAATTCAGTGTTTTGAAGGTTTATTCCTATGTTTCCTTTTAGGAGTTGTATAGTTTTAGCTCTGAACTTAGGTATTTGATCTGTTTTGAATTGATTTTTGTGTGTTGTGTGAGGTAGGGGTCCAACTTTTTTTTTTCCTCAGGGAGTTTCCTAAGCAATGGGTGCTTAGCAGGGCAGTACTGTAGGCAGGGTGGGAGTAGGGCCTGTGCAGGACAGTGGCCTCCCTCCCCTCGTTCTGACTCAGCTGGAGGAAGGAGCCTCAGGCCTGCAGCATCCGAGTTATGCAGAGGTACAGGTGGCTTGTTAACTCCACTACCACCTGGCCTGCTGCTCACTTGCTGGGAGGGAGGATGAAGCGGAGTGCTGGGCAGGGGCTGCCACTGTTGGATGCTCCCCTGCTCCCAAACAGCTTCGGGGTCCACAGTCTCAATGCAGAGGAGAGTAGGGGATGAGGACCTTCTCTCATTTAACCACCACACTAGCCCTCTGAGGCCAGGGTGACTGTGCCCCTTTTATAGGTGAGGAACAGAGAGGCTAAGGGACTTGTACTAATAAGAGCTAGCGGGGCAGAGCTGGGACAGAAGCAGTGCCCCATCCCAGGCGAGGCTCTGCACAGAACCATCGAGCCTGTGGTGCTTGTTCAGAGAGAGGTGTCCTGTGGATGAGGCCAGTGCCCCGGATTGGCTGATTTGGAAGGATCACGACAACATAGGCAGCAGCCCATGATGGTCATCGAGCTTATCTCTGGGCCAGGCCAAGTGGTTCACACCTGTCACCTCATTTAATCCCCACAGCAGCCCAGTGAAGAGTCCGGTTATCTTTTCTTTTTATGGATGAGGAGATGGAGGCCAGAGAGGACGGGCCATGGGCCAAGGTCATTGTCCTGTGGAGCTGGGATTTAAATCCCAACTCTGTGGCCACAGAGCCCTGACCTTGATAGTCTGCTTTCCTGGGGATTCAGTCACTGCCCCTGCCACACCCTCCTCCCCTTGATCAGATAGGGTCTCCGCCACTCGAAGCAGAACTGTCTGCAGCTAGAGCTTCTGAGGAAGGACTGCACCGATGCAGCCACGATGGTGAGCACCAGCCTGGGGCCTTCATGTCCCTGCCCCTCACCTGAGCCTGGGAACAGTGTGCTGTCGCTCAGGGTGGCAGAGAAACGGTGATGAGAGCGTGGATGCAGAGGTATTTTGCACACTCAGAAGCTGGGCTCAAATCGGGCAGTGTTGTCATTTATATAAATGTGTCACATGAGCAGTAACGTCCAACCGAAGGGCTGGCTGACGGCCCCTGCCCACATCCAGCCGCCTGCTGCCCCAGTCCCTGCTAGTGTGCTGAAGCCCTGTTTTCTCTTCTGTCTTTATAGTTTGCAGCCATCGGCCCCACTACGGCTCATGCACTGGCCGCCCAGGGCCTGCCTGTAAGCTGCACTGCAGAGAGCCCCACGCCACAAGCCCTGGCCACTGGCATCAGGAAGGCACTCCAGCCCCATGGCTGCTGCTGAGTCAGCCACCTGTCGCTTGCCCCATGCAGCCTCCCTGGGCTGGGCTGGCTCTGGATGGAGCTGGGCATTGGCAAGGGCTCTCAGGAGCTGCTGCCATCAGACTCCTGCTTCAAGCCTGAGTGGAAGCATCTGAGGACCGGGGATCAGGACCTGACCTGGGGCTGGCCTCAGGCCCACATGCACGTGACCACCCTCTGTGGAAGCCAGCTTGAACCCTAGCCCTGTGAGAGCTTCCTGTGCCCAGCAGGAAGGAAATAAAATAAACCACACTGGCTGCCCTGCTTACTGAGTGGTTACTATGTGCCATTTTAAGTGCAAAGCTATGTTCAGGGAGGAGACAGGTATGCCTACCTGTGATAACCCATAAACCTGCTGTGAATCGGAAAATTTGCTCTGTATGAACTAGGTTTATTCATTCTATAAAAAGGACTGTGAAGTTCCTGCTTGTGAGCTATGGACAACTGTAGTTCAAATATAGAGAGACTTGCTTTCCCTCAAAGTTGCAACTGCAGCATTAGACGATGAAACCATCTGCTCTCCCAGGAATCTGAGGGGCTGGAGAGGTCAGTATGTACTGAGAAGAGGTTCATGTGCAAATGCAGTGCCCTGTAGAAAGGCTTTGGAAATCTGTTCCCAAATTTCCTTCTCACTTCATTCCCAAAGTTCCCAAACTTCATTCCCAACTCAGCCTGGAATTTAGGCTGAGTTGACTGAAACCCAGACTTGTCTCTTAGTAGCATGTGGACTGGTAGTGGGAAGGCTCTGCCCACACGCCTCTGTTTCCTTGAAAGATCCGACTGAAAGGCATTTGGGCTCCACGTCTCTGATCTCCATTCGTCATAACAACCCTGAGGAGTGGACATTCCTATCATTCCATTTTTCTGGTGAGGAAACAGACTCAAGAGGGGAAATGATTTCTCAGGCTCACATAGCTAGTGAGTGGCAGAACCAGAACAAAATTAAAAGGGATGGATGAGCCTAAGCACTTAGACCTAGACTAACGAAATTCATCAGCCGCCTCATATGAGATTCACGCTAGTAGAGAGGTTAGAATTCAGTGATAATTGTTCTCCAAATCTTGATGTGATTATACAGAAATTCTTTGAGAACTGTTCTAAAACTGGATTGTGGTGATGGTTCCATGAAGTGACCACTTGTCTCAGAAGATTAAGGAAAATAATTGGGCAAGCACTGTTTCATACACGTTTTTCACCTTAGTACCAAAGTGAAATAGATTAGCCCATGCACTAAGAACCTGACTGTACATTAGAACCACGTGATGTGCTTCTAAAATGAAATTGCTCAGGCCCCACCCCCCAGAGATTCCCCTGAATTGGTTTCTAGAATAAAGCCCAAGCAGCAGGAGGTATGAGACACTCTCCAGCTGCCTCCAGTGTGCACCCGTGTTTGGAAACCGCTGGATTACAGGAATGGGGTCCCCCATAGCTGGAGTGCGATCAGGAACGCCCTCATGCGTGGTGAAGAGGCTGGAGAAGCAAGACAAGCCCGGAAGTGAGGAAAGAGAAGTCCAAGCTGTAGGCAGACAAGAGCGGGAGGGATGTGTGGGCTTCGGAAGCACATGTTGGAGGAGGAACGACACCCTGTTGCAGGGCAGGGAAAATAGGATCCTTTTCACAGCCTTAGGGGGTGGGGGACAGAATCAGGGACAAAGGTTCACTAAATGTCTGCATGCTAGTAAACACCATACGTGTGTCCTTTCATCCCCACACAACCCGAAGCCACCTTTTGAAGAGGATGTGAGGCTATCAGCAGTTCTGGCGAAGCCTTGTTTCAGATGGAGTGGGCCAGGGTGTGGTTAAAGATGGTTCTGTTTGGGATTAGGAAGGCAGGGAGCTCGTGCACCGGCGGGAGATGAGCAAAGCAGCAGGTGCAGTGTCCTCGACCATTGCGTGAGTTGGGAGCCTGGGCTTTCTTTGGCAGTTGGGCTGGAGATTCCTTAGAACATGAGGGCTGAGTAGGCAAAAACCAGTTTGAAAGGGACTGTGGAGAAACCCTGGTTCTGAAGATATTGGTGGGACAGAAGGTAAGGTCTGTAATTACCCAGCTCAAGAAAGTGAAGCCCAGGGATGTCACACGTCACTTCTTCTGCTCACCCTCCCACAGAACTGCAGTTTCTGTTAAGGACAATAATTATGTTAATCATTCTATGGCTCAATGGCTAGATGGGAGTGAACAGAAGCTGGCATAAGGCTTTCCTTCAAAGATACAACTGCAGCATTAAACAGACCGTCTGATCTCCCAGGAATCTGAGGGGCTGGGAAGTCAGTATTTACTTAGAAGAGGTTCATGTGGCCGGGCGCGGTGGCTCACACCTGTAATCCCAGCACTTTGGGAGGCCGAGACGGGCGGATCAGGAGTTTAAGACCAGCCTGACCAACATGGTGAAACTCCATCTCTACTAAAAGTATAAAATTAGCCGGATATGGTAGAGGGTGCCTATAATCCCAGCTACTCAGGAGGCAGAGGTTGCAGTGAGCCGAGATCGTGCCACTGCACTCCAGCCTGGGAAACAAGAGCAAAACTCTGTCTAAAAACAAAAAGAGGTTCATGTGCAAATGCAGAGCCCTATAGAAAGGCCTTGGAAATCTGTTCCCAAACTTCATTCCCACATTTTAACAGATCCAGCTGTTCCTGATGTGCTGAGGGAAGTTCAGCTTTGAGTTTGTAGATGTTCTAGGTGCCTTCCCAGAGTCAATGTGGGAAGCCGGGTCGAAGCCAGAGTCTCACACGATACCCTGAGCAGCAAATAGGGCCACCCAGGACAGTGAGTGAGTCACACCCCCAGCCCTGCCAGCTCCAGACAGAGTAATGCCCCAGCAGGCTGGGTGGCCAGCTTCCTTGTGTCCCTCCTGGGGATCAGAAGGCACAGAAGGGTGGGGTGGGAGAACACACGCAACAGATGTGCTGCACAGGGTTTTGCCACAGTTGTGTGACCTACATTCCCTGTTCGCATCTGCTCTCACGTGCCTTCCCCTCCAGCTCCTGGACTCAGGAGAGTTGCTGAAGAAGTTTGTGCAGGGAAGGAATAAAGGATCACACAGGAATTTGAGAGCCAAAGTAGAGTGCGGCTGGCCCCCCAGCCTCAGGTGGGCTAGTGGTAAGAACTGAAGATGTTCCCTCTGGACCTTCCAGCCACAGCTCATTGGTGGGACATGTTCTCAGACGCTCTTCTAAGTTTTTTGTGCTTTAACTCTTGAGTTACATGTGGTCACTCTCTTAATGAGTTAAGCGTTAGTACAACTTCCCTGTGAATAGAACGTAACAAAATAAAAACATTGTGTTTTATACAAGTCTTCAGAAAATAAACTAGCAGGAATCATTTTACTAAAAATTCTAAGAAAGTAGATGACAGGGATAGAGTCTGAGGTGGTCTCAATATTCATTACTCCGGAACAAGAATCCTTGATGTTCAGCAAAGTATGTGGCCCTTTGGAATAAGAACTACATTTCCCAGCTTCCTTTGCAGGCAGGCAGTGATTAAGCTGTAGCCAAGGGGATGTAGTGAGATGCACACCCTTCCCATCATTCTTCCTTTTTCCTGGAATACAGAGAGAAGAGCTGGAGCTCCAGTAGCCGTCTTGAGCCCTGAGATGACGTTGGGGAAAGGAAGTTTTCTAGAACAAGATGACACTGTGGGCACACAAACTATCCCAACTCTAGACTTCCTGAGTGTAAAAGATAGATCAACTTCTATCTTGTTTAAGCCACTGTGACTATGAGATTTTTCTTTTACAATCAAATCTAAATGGTAAAATAATCAAGTGAGTTGGTAGAGTAAACATCAAGATATACCGTTTCCGAGTTTGAATAAAATGCTCTTTAAAGAAAATCTCAGCCAGGTGCAGTGGCTCAGGCCTGTAATCCCAGCACTTTGAGAGGCCAAGGCGGGTGGATCACTTGAGCCCAGGAGTTCGAGACCAGCCTGGCTGACATGGCAAAACCCCATCTCTACTAAAAATGCAGAAACTTAGCCAGGTATGGTGGTGCACGTATGTAATCCCAGCTATTCAGGAGGCTGAGACAGGAGAATTGCTTGAACCCGGGAGGCGGAGGTTGCAGTAGGCCGAAACGGCACCACTGCACTCCAGCCTGGGTGACAGAGCGAGACTCAGTCTCAAAAAAAAAAAAAAAGAGAAGAAAAAAGAAATATTTGGTTACCAGAAGTCCCTCATAAACTTACTGTTGAATCTTTTTATCAAGTTCAATTTTAAGCTGTATATTTGCATATTATTTATAGATTTATGCCTTGTGCAATTATATAAAGTGTTTGAAAAGCAACTGAAACAACAAAAAGACTTCAGCAGTAGAAGAGTTCTAATTTTGATGAAATATTGATAAAACCTACAAAAGCTGCAGGAATGCATTTTCTCAGACAGTTTTCTTTCATTCTTACTGGTAAGCACTCTACTGATTGAAAGGTGTGCACAGTCCTTACGGGAGAAATGTATGTCTTTTATCGTATTTATCTTGTTAAAAGAAAACCTTAGACAAATTACATTTGAGAGAGTTTGACTGAGCAAAGAATGATTTGCGGATCGGGCAGCCCCTAAACCAGAAAGGCTGAGAGGCTGCGGCGCTGCCTCGTGGTTGAAGATTTGTGGACAGAAAAAGGAAAGTGACGTACAGAAAATGGAAGTCAGATGCAAAAACAGTTGGATTGGTTACAGCTTGGCACTTGCCTTATTTTGAACAGCGTTTGAGCTGTTGGCCACTTTTGATTGGCTGAAATTCAGTGATTGGTACAATAGTAGGTTACAGCCTGTTTACACACCTAGGACAGCGCCCAAGCTGTATCCTACGAACAGGCTGTAACCTACTCTTGTACCCATAGCTGTAACTATTTAGGTTAGAGTTCACTGTATACGGAGAATTCTTTAGGCTGGTCTTAAAACATGTAAGGAGGCAGCTTCAGGCTCAACTTAACGCTCTGAATTAAGAGAGACTTAAACATTTCTCTTCAACATCTCATTTAATCCTCAAAATAGCCCTATCAGCTGGGTCCTATTACCTCCATCCTAGAGATAAGAAAAACTGGACTTGGAGGAATTTAATGCCATACACAAGGTTAAGTGAGGTGGAGGCAGGTTCGAACTTTGCTGACCAAGGGCTGAAGGAGAGTTAGATGAGGGGGTGTTCCCACGGGAACGCTGGACTCCACCTCACCTTGGCAGGGCTCCCCCCAGGGCTGCAGGATGGGGGTCGTGTTCCTCAGCATGGCCTCTAAGCCCCCTTCTCAGCCTGGCTTGACTGCCCACAGCCCACGTG